ATCAAAGAGATATGTCTAAAATTCTGGGAAATCAAAAGGCTGCTTAAGAGGCAAAAACAGCAGCCTTATATTCCCTTAAGACCCTAGCCTTATTCCCAATTGTTCCTGAGGAAAGATTAAAATCAATTTAAACCCCCAAGAAGATAAATGGCCTCAGGGACAAGGAAGAATCAAGTAGGGAACATGGTGGTATTTGGGAAACAAACTAGTTCTTCCTCACAAGACACAGTGAAAGGCTATAAAAGACCATGCTTTTTCCATATTAGAAGAAATATTACATTTTCATTGGATCAGGGCTAGCCGTGACCACCCAAATCTGCCAAGCTTCCCTTACCTGTACCCACGATACCTCTGGCAAGCTCAGGTCACTTCTTCTATTAAGAGTCTACACAAGGAAGAGAAAAATAGCTCAGAAATGACTGGCAGTTGGACTTTACCCACATGAAATCTTGTGGAGAATTTAAACAAATAATTAGTCCTGATTGACACTTAAAGCTACAGAGATAGCAGCATTTTTTTTTTTTTTTTTTTTTTTTTTTTTTTTTTTTGAGGCAAGGTCTTGTTACATAGACCAGGCTGGACTTGAGTTTAGTAGGTAACCCAGGCTGACCTCAAACTCACAATGATTTTCCTGTCTTAGCTGCCAGAGTATTGGCTTATAGGTGTGTGTCACCATGCCCAGCCCAAGAAAATAGGTTTTCCAAGCTGCTCTTCAAACAAATCACTCCTTGCTTTGGATCTTCCTATCGCTTGAAATGACAATGGATGATATTCTACCTCTCACATAACTAAAGGGGTATGTGGCCTGGGATTTAGCTCAGGGCATAAGTGGCAAGCATGAGGTCATGAGTTTGATCCCAGGTACCACAAAAAAGAAAGAAAGAAAGAACTAAAGGGGTAGCAAAGGTGTTATGAATAAAATATGAACTCCACTCTGGATGGAGACTTCAGTCCTCCAGAAAGGTCAAAAGTACCAACTAGACCCTAAAACAGACTCTGGCAAAACTCTGCAAAGAGACTTCTGAGCTCTGGCTTTAGTTACTGCCTATGGCCCTCATGAGAATTGGAAACACCCCAAAGACTGGGTGAAGTAAGAGTCCATATGAAATGCCATATGAGAGGGCTTTTGTGTCTTCTGACATGGTGATAGATCCTGAAGCCACTAAACTTTATAGAGTCTTATCAATCTGGGCCAAGTCCAACAAGATATCTAACAATATAGAAATAAGGTCTCAATAGCTCCTGGTCACAGGGGCCCTTTAAGGTTGCCCTGGGGACTAAGTGCTTCTTAAGACCTGGAAGGAGGGGACTCCAGTAGATCAGTTAAGACCAAAGTGTAAGGGGCCCCTCACAATTATTTTAGCTACCCCACCACTGTAAAATTGGCAGGTATCTACAGCAGGATTCACTACTTTGGGATCATGCCGGCTGTATCTGATTCACCCACAGTGACAACCAGAGAAGACTGAGTGTTCTGTTGAGAATTTCAAGGATCTCCTCAAAAGGATACAAAAGGACCAGACCACAGATAAGCCATCCTCTAATGACTATCAATGATCATTTCTAAATTGGTACTATTTTAATTGCTTTAACTGATTAAGATACTCTCATTTCTGATCTATTCAAAAGCTTTGTCCAGGACTTACTACAGGGAAACTTGTATATGGGGAGAAAGTAAGACTTTCCTCAAGCTGTGACCCATGAGTTATACCAATGTAAGTGGGCATTTACTCTAGGGTTAGGATTACTGGTCTGCATTCTGATTTGATTATTTTGTCTAATCTGACTCATTTAGTGCTATAATTTCCTTGTTCCATTATGATCACTACATGGCTTATAAAACCTAAAATCTCCTTGCCACTTTTTTTTTGGTACTGGGAATCGAACTCACAACCTCATGCTTGCCAGCTAGATGCTATGCTGCTGAATATATTTGAGCTATATTCCGGGCCCTGCCTTAATTTGCTTTATGTTATTACGTCTGTAGGTGACCACTGCTGGAATGGTAAATTCAGAACTGATAATGAATTAAAGGATGGAGTTTAAGAAATGAAGATGTTTTAATTGTGAGAAGGAAAAATCTAAAGACAGAAAGCTGCCCCAACGAGGGGTCAGGGAGTTCTGGAAAAATGGATTCCTGAAGACCACTTGTCCTTAGCTTCTTAGGGACCTTTTCTCCTAGGTGGGCCCCTAGAAATTGTCACAACTTATTGGCTCTCTGGGCTGTCAGAGATAGATCCTGGGCTACAATACTCCTGGCGCCACTGCCTACATGGCATTCTTTTTTTTTTTTTTTTTTTTTTTTTTATCGGTACCAGGGATCGAACTCAGGACTGCACGCTTGCAAGGCAGGAGCTTATGCCGCTGAGCTAAATCCGCAGCCCCTACATGCATTCTTTTAGGTGGGCATTTACTTCTTGCCCATTTTTCCTTATCAGGGCCTTATCTCTGGAATATATAGGTTAGCTAAGAGGAGTCATGTAGAAAGTCACTTTAGTGATTAAGGGGATTCATATCTAGTGCCACACTATACTGACGCTAGAGAGAGAATATAAAAAAATACATTTTGTTTCATTTTGTTTTTTGAGACAGTCTCACTATACAATTCAGGCTGGCCTTAAACTCACAGTGACCTAAAAGCCTCCCAAATGCAGAATTATAGGCATGCAGCACAATGCCAGAGGGTACGTTTTTATATGTTAAATGCAGTTAGTTACCAGTTTAAGAATGAGTTCTGTTCTGGAAACTGTTTCTAAGTCAAAATCATTTGTGACCCCAACAAAGTGGGTCTCACATACTTTTGACATAGATATACAACATACATTGCTCTGTACTTGCTGGCCAGCCCTTCCACGTCACCTCTGTTCTTTCTCCTGCTTCCACACATCCTGCACTCTGATTGGGCACTGTACTACTGTCCACTGTTGCACTGGTAATGAATTAAAGGGATGGAGTGAGCACACAGAGGTACAGCTGTGAGTGTCCAGTAAACATGGGAGCTACTTTCATGATTTGTTCACATCTATGAATGCTCCTCACGTAGGTCCGCTTGTATCTGTCAAAGTTCACAACTCAAATACCCTAAGTTGGGGACTTGCTGTACGTTTCCTTTTAGGTTAAGTAGCTCCTCATCCTACTGTCTCCTTTGCACTTTATTGAAGGTAAGGAGAGGCAGCTTTCTTGCTTGCAAGCACATCTGATTTCATCTGTGCTCAGTCAGCTCTCCCTCTGGTGTCTTCAATGTCTCCCTGCAGTAAAGCTTTAGCTCTAGTCAGGATTAGCCAGAAAACCTAACAAGACCCTTATTCTATTCCTTCCCTGCTTATGGATCACTTTCCCCTAAAAAAGTCACCTATGCTTAGTACCCAACTGCTATGAGACCCAAAACTTTTCCTTACCTCCTCCCACTTGAAAGAGTTCACACACTCTCAAAGTTCACGAAATCAATTCCCAGCACAAGATTGCTGCACCTACCTCCCTCTCCCACTTGGACCACTCAGGCACGTCCTGCAGTTCTGACTGAACTCAACCCTACCTAAGGTACCCCCTCAGAAATCAAGCCCTCCTATGCCTTCCAACTGGACAGGTGTTTATGCAATACTATAGCTTATTTAGCCCCTGATAAACAAACTGCTCTGAACAATCAGCTTCCGGATTCCCTCTTCTACCTTCATCTGAGTAAAAAGAATGATTACTCTATTTTTCCTCTTGGTGGACTTGGAGATCACAGGGATAGGTACAAGAACTATGGGGCCAGGAATAGCCTCACATACATTCCACAGCCTCTGGGCTCTTTGAAAGCCTCTCCCAGTTCTCCACCACCTTTAAAAGTCTTACAAGATCAATAGGTTTCCTAGTCCTGATGACCCTCAAGAGTTCTATCTAGGGATGCTGATAAGTCGGGGATATAGCTCAGCAGCATGACACCTGCCTGGCATGTGCAAGGTCCTACATTCTAATCCTGGTACAAAAAAAAAAGTGTTGACTATAGTACAGGGAGGTCTCCACATGGCTCTGAAGAACAATGCTGTACTGTAACAAACCAGGTGCTGTCCAACAAGCTGTCCATACCTTCAGGAATCTCAGTTATGGGAACAAGTGCCAGTTATCTGGCTCACTAGCAAGAATTTCCTTCTTTTGTATGTTTACAGTCTATTTGTCTCATAAACTTTTTTTCTTGCAAGATCCAACAAACCCACCTATATAAGATGGTTTGACAGAGATCCCTACCTCCCCCTCAACCACTATTTCCCTTCTCACTTAGCCCTCAGAGGTGGGTCAGTCTACTTCACAGCCACCTCCAATTCACCCAGTATCTCACTTGCTACCTGGACTGTGGCACCCTGCTCACGTGCATCCCAAATCATCAAATCCTACCCAAGGGCCACCAACTCTCTTTAAGTCTGGGTGAGAGTTCCATAATTCCCTATAGGCAGGAGTTGCTGCCACTCTCAGCTGGAAACAGCTGCAGAAAAGATCCCGACGCTCTCAATGCTCTGTACAGATTTATCCAGATTACATCTCTCAGGGGAACTCTTAACAGACAAGGTAGCTAAGCATTCACAGCTTTAAATCTGGGCTTTGAAAGAAAAACAAATTTTTTTTTAAAACTTTATTCTTTTAGTGTTGGTTTGTTGGTCATGGATTTTTTTAGGTTTTCTTTCCCACAGAAATATTTTATTTCTCCATCAATTTTGAACTATATAATTTTGCAGGTCTAGATTAGAAGTTTTTTTTTTTTTTTTTTAAATAGAGCTTGAAATATTTTCAAGCTCTCTTTTCTTTTAAGGTTGTATTGAGAAGTCTGTTAAAATTCTGATGGGTTTTTCTTTATAGGTGATTGGTTGCTTTTCCCTAACAGCCTTTAAGGTTTTGTTCTTTTCATCCATTTCTAGTATTTTCATTATTATGTGGCATAGAGATTTTTTTCTTATCAAGGCTGAGATTCTGTATGTCTTACTTATGTGTATGTTAAATTCTTTTTCCATGTCTGCAAAGTGTTTTGCCATTACTTCTTTTTTTTATTAGTGGAGAATGCAGACAACTATTTTAAAGGGAGTAAAATTAAACACAACAAAACAGAACAAAATGGGACATAAAAAAGAAATGTAAGAGATACAAATTTCAAAGCTAGACAACCTGAGATCTTCGCTATCTATCATATTCTCTTGATTTCTTCCAAATAGTTGTCCATGTCTTTGCATACAGAGAATTCATACAAAACAACATAGCAGAAAAATGATCTGAACAGAATGAGGAAGGCATTTTAGGTCTTCAAAACCAGACAATAGGGAAGTCACTAGTGGCTATAGTAGAGTCTCTCATTCTCTTCAAAATAGCTGTTCATACTTTCATGCATATTGAAGTTCAAAAAACAAAACAGGCTAAAATAACACCATTAATTAGAACAAAGCAAAACAGCGATAAAAAGTATTTGCCTTCAAAGAGATGGTAGAAGGAAATCCCCCCTATTTGATGCATTGCCTATGGTCAACCTCCCAAGGGATGTACAGATCACTTGGGAGTGGGGGAGATGTGGTTTGATTTTTAGCCCACGGGCCGGCAGGCTCACAGCTGCTTACCAGGTCCCAGCATGGTGTAGGTTCCAGTAAATGTGCACTCACAGCTGCTCACTGATGGGAAGGGTTGCTTGGTTTCCTGGCGCTCCTCACCCAGGAGTACAGGGGTGGGGGGGTGGAAGTGTGTGGGGGTGGGTTTGCTAGGTAATACTATTTTTACCCATACAAGGTTTCTATGTTCTCATTTACTTTCAAAATTACAAACACATTAATACTGTGCTTGTAGGCCTTACACACCTGAAATTGAAATACAAGGAATAAAAAAATAACATGGGGTTCAAAAACCACCACATGAGGTAGCTGACAGCTTGATCTGCACATTACCCCTCCAACCTTCACAGCAGCAAGCTTAGGCAGCAGCAGGCAACCACTGCCCAGGCACTCCAGGTTCAGTGACCAGGGGCTTCCAAGAACAACTCGAGAGCACACTGACCCAACCCAAGCTGTAATGTCCCCTCCAAAGGTTAGATTTCTGAAAAGCAAAGCCCATCTGGCACTGGAGAAAGTGGCACCCTCTAAGCCACTGAGTGATGTCTGGAGATTAATACTGAAAACTACGCTTTGTCTGGATGTCATCAAGAATCTGCTGCAGCTCTTCATCTTCAAATCGTCCCTCCAGGCTGAAAGAGGACATGATTGAGATAGTGATTAGCATTCTTTTTGCACTTTTTTCATATTTTTTTTTTTGGCGGAGGGGTCTTTTTGAGATAGGGTTTCACTTTCACTATGCAACTCAGGCTGGCCTCAACTCAAAGCAACCCTCTTGCCTTAGCCTCCCAAGGGCTGGAACTGTAAGTGTGTGTCACCGTGCCCGGCATTTTTAGCTGTTTGAGATAGGGACTCACTGTACAGCTCAGGCCGGCCTCAATTTGAGGCAATATTCCTGTTTCAACCTCCTGAGTGCTACAGCCATGTGTCACTACACTAAGCTTGTCTTTGTTTTTTGAGACAGTCTTGCTACAGAGTTCAGATTGGCCTTGAACTCACTATGTAGCCCAGGTTTCCCTCAAACCTGCTGCCTCAGCTTAAGGGTGGAGACTCTAAGCATGTGCTATGACATCCAGTGCTATAGTTTGTGTCTAGGTGTCCCCCCCATCTCCCACTCACACAGTCAGTTTTTACAGTTGACTGAATCCAGAGTGCGCAACTGACTCGTGGTGTATTGCTGAGGTTAAGGGCAGGTGATTGCTGAATCAGTTCATTCCTCTTTCCCTTTCTTCTGTCTCTCCCTCTCCCCCTCTGCCTTCCTTATTGCTTTATCATCTTCTGGCTATCATGAAAATCCCTTTTGTTTTTTTTTGCTTTACTGTCTTCCATTGCCATCAATTGTTGCCCCTCTGACATGTGCCACCCTGCCTTAGAGCCAGGCAATGATGGACTGTGACCTAAATACACCTTTCCCACTTTAACTTTTGAGTGTTGGGTATTTTGTCACTGCTTCTCTGCACTTCTTGAAGCATGTTCCTGTTTGAGCACCATTTACCCATATTCCCTCTACCTTTACTATTTTTATTTTTATTTTTTGAGAGTCTCATTATATAGTTCAGGCTGGCCTGGAATTTGTGGCAGTCCTGACTTAGTTAAGACTCCCAAGTGCTAGGATTACAGGCATGCACCACTTTGTTAGGCTACCTTTAACTTTTAAGTGTATGAACCCTTTGTCTTCTCTTTTTTTTTTTTTTAAATTTTTTTGTACCAGGGATCAAACTCATGACTGCACACTTGCAAAGCAGATGCTTACGCTGCTAAGCTAAATCCCTGATCCTCCTTTGTCTTCTCTTATAAAATGCTACAAAATATTTTAAGCATATAAAAGACAGCACTTTAGCACATTTCCAGAATCTGTCCCCTTCTTATTTTGAGACAAAGTGATGCCTGCCTGGCAAGTGCGAGGTCATGAGTTCAATCCCCAACACCAAAAAAAAACAAAAACAAAAACCCAAACAAACAAAAAAAACAAGTCTTGCTAAATTGTTTAGGCTGACCACCTTCCTCAGCCAACTGGGTTTGCAAACGTGTGCCATCACACTTGCCTAAACAGATACTCTTCGGCTTACTGCAGCTATTTGAGTACAGTTTATGTCCTTTATATTTGTTTTTAAACTTGATTATTTTTGCAGTACTCGGTATTCAACCTCAGGGCCTTTGGACTGAGCTACATCCCTAACCCGTTTATCATTTTTTAATTTATGCAGTCCAGGCTAGCCTCAAACTTATAGTGATCCAACCTCTGGGGTTGTGTGCCACAATGCCTGGCCTTTATTTTTAATTTTGAGACAGGTTTTCACTAAATTGGCCAGGAAGGGCTCAAACTCTAGGTCAGCCAGAGTGCTGGATTACAGAAATGTGACACTACATCCAGCTACTTACATTATTGATTGATTGATGCTGGAGATGGACTCCAGGGCTTCACACACGCTAGGCAAGTACTCTACCGATGAGCTACACCACCAACAATATTTTATTATTTTGGTACTTGGGATGGAACTAGGACCCCATGCATATTAAACACTCACTCTGCTCCTGAGTTACACTTACTTTAGCCTTACTTTTAAATTCTATAAGAAACCATTATCATACTATATGTATACTTCTCCAACTTTTTCTCTTAAATGCATTTTGGCATGTGTTAATGTTACTCCATAATATCTCAGCACATTTTTAAAATTACTGTATAATAAACATTGTATGACAATGATACAATTATTCACTTCTCATGTTATCCAACTTCTGCTCTAACAATGTAGCAACAAACAGGGAATACACATAATCTTCTAAGGTATATTTATCTTGAACTTTACTACACACAGACTAACTGTTCTCCAGAGTGACTGAAGTAATTTGTGCTACTACCATCCATGTACAAGAGCCTCAGCTGTTCCATTCTTGCAACTAGTGTGGTATAGAACCACTGTTTTCATAGTTAGAAAGGAACTCTCATTCAGTGTTTGTCACATCTACCCAAATTTAAATGCACACATTTTTAAAAAATTTTACTTACGTACTTATTTGCAGTGATCCTTCTGCCTTAGCCTCCTGAATGCTGGGATTACAGGGTTGTGCCACACACCTGGTCCTCATACATCTTTTAGACACAGTAATTTTATTTGTAGGAATGTATCCAATACACACAAACTTTTCACAACTGGTACTAACCTTGGGATAAGAGCCTTGGACTCCTCAGCAGTCTCTGGGCAAAGATTGGCCAAACAGGCCAGTTCAAACTTATGCAGCTTTTTCTGGAGCAGCAAACTGGTCAAGGAAGAAAATCAATTAATGATAAAAAAATCAATTGAAAAAAAGAGGTCAAATGCAGCTAACAGGGAAGAGAGAAAAGTATCTGTATCTTGCTTTGTGTTCTGCACACAAAACTGGAGAATCTTGAGGTCAAAGGATCTCCTACCAAACTGGAGAGCTGCAGTGAAAGCAGACAGAGCAGGGGAACGGAAACCTACAACAGCGTCGAGCACAGCTGCCATCGAGACACGGAAGCTGTTGCTTACCTTGGGGGCAGGGCCACCCTTGGCCTCCAAACTGATTTTGTTGCTCTCTGTTCTCCTAACTACTCTTTCTCCTCCACCTCCTTCCTATCCTTTGTTATAAAGTTTGCATCAAACACATGGTGTTAGATGTCCCAAGTCTATTGGATGTTTTGAAGTGGGAATAATTATCTTTTAAAACGACCTAAAACTAAATGGAATACAGCTTACCTTACCTTGTAAAACTCTAATGTAAAATGTTTTTTTTTTTTGTCTTTTTCGTTTTTATCGGTACTAGAGATCGAACTCACGACTGCACACTTGCAAGGCAGGAGCTTATGCCGCTGAGCTAAATCCCCAGCCCCAATCTAATGTAAAAGGTATCTTATTTTAAAACAACTAGAAATGTTCAACTTGTATAAAAGAACATTGTAAATACAAATATAACCATGGACAGAGTGCTTTCATAGCGTGTACCAGGCCCTAAAGCACTGTCTTAAAAAAAAAAAAAAAAAAGTTGGTGTGGTAGCACAGGCCTGTAATCTCAGCACACAGCAGGCTAAGGCAGGAAGGCACAAGGATCAGGAGCCTGAGGTCAGCCTGGTCTACATACCAAATTCAAGGGCAGCCTAGTTTATGTAATATGACCCTGTCTCAAAAATCAGAATAAAGGGGCTGGGGATTTAGCTCGGTGGCATAAGCGCCTGCCTTGCAAGCGCATGGTCAGGAGTTCGATCCCTGGTACCGGTAAAAAAAAAAAATCAGAATAAAACAAGAGGTTGGCATGGTATGCACATGTGTAATGCCAGCCACTGTACTTGAAAGGCTGAGGTCAGTCAAGGCAAGTTAGCAAGACCCTGTTCTCAAAATAAAAACTAACCAGAGTTCGATTCCCAGTACATATATACACACATAGAGTAAAAAGGACAGGGGTTTTACTTCAGTAGCTGAGCACGTGCCTAGCATGACAGTGGCCCTGGGTTTAATATCCAGTACTATAAAGAAAACAAAAACCAACCAAACAAAAAACTCCCAATACTATCTCTGATTTCCATGCAGAAGCCCACTTATGATAAACTTGGCTTTAGAGATGACTTATAAAGGTTTCTAATGGCAGCACACACCTGCATTCCTGATGCATAGCTCGGCAGCTTTTGAGCTCCTGGCAAGGCCGGATTACGCAGAGATTCTGTTTTTAAAAAAAAATCTATCAACACCTGCCTGGCAAGCGTGAGGCCCTGAGTTTGATTACTGGTACTCAAAGGAAAACAAAATCTATTTTCAGTACACTGCTATAGTTTTAAACTACCTGGGGAGCTGAGGTTAGACAACTGACTCAGCTGAGCAGATCAGGTTCAGACAGGGTAACATAATAAGACCATGTTTTCTAAAGAAAAAAAACCATTGAGCCAGGCACAATGGCACGTGCTTTTAATCCCAGAAGGCTGAGGCAGGAACATTCCAAGTTTGAGTCCAGTCTGGGCAACTTAGCCACTACCAAAAGCCTGTATCAAAATAATAAAAAAGGGCTGGAGATGTATCTCAGTATGAAGGCCCTAGGTTCAACCTCTCATAGTAAAAAAAAAAGAAAAAATAAATCAAATAAAAATTAAAAATTTTAAAAAGGAAAAAGAGAAAATACTGTATTTAGCACAAACACTGCACAAAATTTAGAAAACATAGTAATGGACGCCTGTCACCCTAGCACTCAGGAGGCTGAGGTAGGAGGATCACCATGATTTTGAGGCCAGCAGGGGCTACCTAAGTGAATTCAAGGCCAGACTTTACAACACAGAGAGATCATGACTCAAAAAAAACAGAAACAGAAACAAAATATAGAAAACACAAAAAAAACCTCATATCATTACCTAAGCAAAATTAAAGTTACCATCTCAGCACACATTTTCTTTTATTTTGCAGTGATAAGGATTAAAACCATATGAAAAGTATGAATTCTATCAACGATCTGCATCCCTAATTCCATTATTTATTTATTTATGGTGGTATTGGATATTGTTTTTATTTTTTGAGGCAGGGTCTCATCATATAGTTCAGGCTGGCATTAAATTCAAGGTAATCAAAAAAAAAATTCAAGGTAATCTTCCTACCTCAGCCTCTGAGGGCTAGGATTACAACTGTACTACCATGCCTAGCTCATGTACTACATATTGAACCTGGGGTTTTCTGTATGTAACTACCACTGAACTACCCTTTTATTTTGAAACAAATTCTCACTAAATTGCCCAAACAGGGCTCAAATTTGGGATCCTCCAACTTCAGTCTTCCAAGCAGCTGGAATTACATGCAGGTACCACTTCACTTGGCCTACTGTTAATTTACTATAATTATTATAGTAACTCATCAAATGGAAGCATCATAATTACTGATAAATATTTGGATCAGTGATAGCAAACCTTTTGGAGCTTTCAATGACAACAGCCAGCTGCGGCACACGTGCCATAGGTAGACTACCACTGGTTATCCTTGGTTGTTATAAATAGCTCTCCATGAGCTAGGAATCTATGCTCAATGTTCAGAGCACTTACTCTGGCTTTGATATCCAGCAAGAAAAAAAAAGGGTGAGGGGTGTACAAAGTACAGTGCTTGCCTAGCATAGGACAGGTCCTAGGTTTAGTCTGCAGCTCAGAAAGAAAACAGAAAACAGCAGAGCAGTTTGCTAATAGCTCTCTGAAAGGGGTTGAGAGGATATCTCATAGACTGGGCATACATGAGGCCTGAGATTCAATACTAGAACCCAAACACAAAACAAAACAAAAAACACAGTGGCCATTTTACGCTTATTATTTTACTGTATGTATGTACGTACTGCAGTATGTGGGGAGATAATACATGTACATAATGTTTTTAACTGATTTTTTTTATCTCTTTGGATTTTTGTTTTCAGACAGGGTCTCATTATGTAGCTTAGGCTGCCTCAAATACACAGTGACTCCCTGAATACTGTGATTACAGGTGCACACTACCTCACCCATCTAGTTCTTGGGACTGAACCCAGGGCCTTGCACAACTAGACAAGCTCTATCTTTGCACTCTATCTCCAGCCCTGTTCTAGTTTCATACTATGTCTTGCTAAATTGTCTAGTCTGGCCTCAAATTGGTGATTTTCCTACCTCAGCTTCCCAAGTAGCTGCGATTACAACCACATATCACTACACACAGCCTGATAAAAAATTTTAAGTATTTTCTGAGGGATATGGGGAAATTAAACGACACATGATTATCCTAATCAGGCCAGTTACTGATTTCCAACCCAAGCACATCAACAAGGTCTCTCACGTGCTAGACAAGCATTGTATCACTAAGCATGTCATACCCAAGGGCCCCATTTTTGAATTTTAGGGACACTATTCTGAACACAGAGATGAAACCTAGGAAAGGGGGACAGATGTCCACTTGCACATACCGGCATTGTAGATTAATATAAACTCTCCTTGAGAGTTTGCGCACTCACCTACGGACACTGGCAATGGTCTCTCTGTTTTTGAATCGACTGAATCGAGCTGTGTAGTTCAAAGTTTTCATGAAGACCCCAGAGAGCTCCTGCTCATCCTCTGCACTCTCATTCTGTTGCTTCCGATGCTCCAAAAGCATATGAACTTCGGAATTTAGAAGTGTCTCAGCTGTTTCAAATTCTGTTGTGAGAAGCAAAAATGTCAGCTGAAAATCTCTCTTCATGTTCATCTGAACACTTCCTGTCTTCACCTCCACCCATACCTTGTGTGCCACAGGAACAGCAGAGCTCTATGAGATGCTAAAACTGAGCTCACTTCTGACACTCTAGAACCTCCCCTGCACATGGAATTAAATGACACACGATTATCCTAATTAGGCCAATAACTGATTTCCAGTCAAAGCATCAACAGTGCAGAAACTCAGAACACTCAGGTGGTGTGGCCTGAACCCAGGTTTTCTTTTCTTTTTTTTTGTCTTTTTCCTTTTTATCCGTACAGAGGATCGAACTCATGACTGCCTGCTTGCAAGGCAGGCGCTTATGCCGCTGAGCTAAATCTCCAGCCCCTGAACCCAGGTTTTCTCACAAAGCCACATCCCTGGCCCTTCTTTTCTAAGACAGAGCTTTACAAATTTGCCCAGGCTGGGCCTTAACTTTTGATTCTCCTGCCTCAGTCTCCCAGAGTGCTGGGATTACAGGTGGGCACCATTGTGCCTGGCTGAACTCATAATCTTTACACTTCCATAACGCTACATTATATTCTTAATTTTAATAATCGTTAGCTGGGTACAATGGTGTATGCCTGTAATTCTAGCACTCTGCAAGGCTGAGGCAGGGGGACTGCAAGTTCAGGCCCAGCGTGGGCAACTTAAGAGAATCTGTCTAACTGAAAAAGAAGCCATGGTAAAGAAAATGTAAAATTTTTTGCAGTTTGGCATTTACATGTGTTACAGGGATGCTTAAAATTGGGAAATCACACCTGCATCAAGAATAGCAGCCCGACTTTTTGAACCAGTTGACAAATCACTGTCCTGTTACAACACTGGTAGTCGCTGTGGGCAGTCAGAAGTAAACTAGGTTTTTAATGCGACAGAAGGGGCAATCAAAAGCTACTTTGCATCTGAGCGCAAGAGTGGTAAGAACCTCCTCGGAAGAATGAGGCAGGTGGATCACTGCGAGGCCACCCTGAACTATATAGCGAGATAATGCCTCAAAAAAATGAAAAAATAAAACGCCAGACGTTCGGCAGAAATCTGAGCTGAGTACACTTTACGCTTAACTTTCCTACTGCATAACTACTGATTAAAATCTGTCCTGACCGCTCTAGCTACGCCTTCGCTTATCTCTACCACATAAAAACAGGTAGTAAGGGCAGCTGGCCACCGAGAATCCCAACGACCGAGGCGTGGAGTCAAGAGGGCCTTCTCTGTAAGGAACTAAGCAAAAGCCCCACAGGATCCGCCTCTGCCTGGCTGGCCTTCCTGGCTTGGCAAACCGACACCAGCCTCGACCACCTGCTGCTGCCAGGCCCACAGCAAGGCCAGGATGACGCCAGATTCGCAGTGGGGAGCATCACAGCCTCGGGTCATACCTTTGGGGAAGATGAGTTGTGAGGCGTCCTCTTCCACGTCGCCAGCCCGCGGATCACCGCCACCGGCCGCCATCGCTGCGCTGTGGGTATCACAAAAGCCGCCGGAAGCGGAAGTAGAAAGCTGTGCACTGACTCCCGGGAAGGGGGCGGGACGAACCCTGGTGTGGAGCAGGCGCGAGAAGCCTAGAGGCGGGACTCCAGCCTCGCGCCCTCTGGGAATGGGTACCCGGGCCTGGGCTTGGGTCCCGCGTTGGCCGTCCGCGGGAAAGCCTTCTTGAAAGCCGGTATCGGAGTCGAGGATATACCTCGGCGGCAACAGTGCCTGCCTGGCCAGCGTGAAGTCGTGAGTTTGATTCTTGGTACCAAAGGAAAAAAAAAGTAAATTAAACAGGTGAAAAATAATACTGTTTTCAACTTTAAGGAAAAAAGACTTTACAGTAAGGGAAAAAACAAAAAAAACAAACAAACAAAAAAACATACTCATGAGCCAGCAGTATTTAGTAATGTAAACCCAGCTGATTTAATAAACAAATAGATATTTGACAAAAGTAGGTATTTATGATTTGTAAGTACAATCTTATTTTGCTTTTTTTTTTTGAGACAAAATATCTAAGTAAATAGATAAAAGAAATGGATCTGGCCCTGAGAAGACAGTGTATGAAGCTGTGAGTGTGAAGCCAAAGGTGCTGTGGAGACCCCAGAAGTTTAGAGAAGCTGGGAACTGTGGATCATCTGAGGGAAACTGTGAGGAGGGAGCTGAGCTGCCCCAGAGAAGCTTTGGGAGCTATAACCAGCAGCTGTGCTGTATGGGTGGAGCCACCCAAGCTTTTTTGAACAACTTGCCACAGATGGCTTCAGATGCCATACAGGGAACTACAGGACTTAATGTTTGCTCTGGCTGGAGTTTAGACTTGCTTTGGTCCCATTTCTTTGAATCCCCATTTTTAACTTTTGGAGATGTTTATCTTGTGCCATTGAATGTTGGAAATGTTTAACTTTCTTTTTATTTGTAATGAGTTCATAGGTAAGAGTTTGCTTTAAATCTCAGAGACTTGGGACATAGACTTTTCAGAAATGCTGAAATTTAAGATTTGACATTCTTAGAACTAGACTAAAATGACTTTTTTTTTTTTTTTGAGACAGGGTCTCTATGCAGTTATGCAGTTCAGGCTGGCCTTGAATTCACTTTGTAGCCCAGGCTGGTCTTAAACTCACTACAATCCTGCCTCAGCCTCCCAAGTAAAATGCCTTTTGCATAAAGGAATGGACATGGTTTTGGGGGGACTAGGGTAGAACGTTATGGCATGCATCTAGATGTACCCCCTACCCCAAAGCCTCATGCACTTTTAGATGGGGCTTTTTTGGAGGTAGCTGAATGTAAACTGTGTGACTGATTGATGGTCCAATGCTGGGATTAAGGGTGTGAGTGCTACAACCACCCTGGGGTAGGTAGCCTGCATAGGATATAAGGGTCAGAAAGAGGCTTGTTCTCCCATTGCTTTTGCTGTCTTGCAATGTCATGAACTGCTGCCCTCTGCCATGTGCCACCCTGCCTTAGGACCAGCTGATTATGGACCAAAACCCTCACAAACTGCAAGCTAAATAAACTTGTCCCTCTTTTTAAAAAAGTGAACCTGGAACTCCATGTAGGAATCACTCTTCCTCTATTGGTCCCACAGGCCTTTCCATAACACTTATTTACTGGACCTTGCACTGTGCTGGCCCAAGGGCAGCTTATTACCCAACACTTCATTTCTTCTGCACAGATAGAGCAGCAACGAAGTCAATTGGCACAGAGAGAAGAAAGAAAAGTGGGCCCTGGGATTTTGCTCAGTGGCACAGCACCTGCCTGACAAGTTGAGATCCTGAATTTGATTCCCAATACAAAAAAGAAAGAAGTGGGCTGGGGATTTAGCTCAGCGGCATAAGTACCTGCCTTGGAAGCAGGCAGTCGTGGGTTTGATCCCTGGTACCGATAAAAAGGAAAAAGACAAAAAAATAAAATAAAAAAATAAAAAAAAGAAGCATAGTGATATTTACAAGTTGGTTTATCCACACATTTTTCAAAAGTGTTGTAGTCTAGCATCATGCCCTCTAATCCAGAACTGGGAATATGTTTGTTTGTTTTTTTTTTGGTACCGAGGATCAAATTTACAACCTAGCACTTGTCAGGCAGGTGCTTATGCTGCTGAGCGAAATCCCTGGCCCCATAAATACACTTCTTAAAAAGACTGTGCCTACCTCAGTATTTCATTCTACTGATGAAGAATAGACAAATGTGGAGGCTACTTTTGGTTGAATGTATAAGGCCCTGCCCAGTCTGGGGAGGAGTTTCCCTATAACATTTAGGTACAGAAAAAGCAAGCATCTAATGCACCTGAGGAATAATTATTCCTCAAGGAAATTTATATTTCAGTGTCCTTAAATGTAATTTTTTTTTCTTTTTCCTTTTTACCAGTACTGGGGATCAAACTCACGACTGCCTGCTTGCAAGGCAGGCACTTATGCCACTGAGCTAAATCCCCAGCCCCTCTTAAATGTAATTTTTATATCATTACTGAGAAATAATTATACAGACGTTATACAAACACAAGAAGTACAATTTTCATTAATGTTGGTAAATCCTTTTTTAAACAGAAAAATTTCTACTTTTCCTAAATTTCTAGAATGCTTCTCAAAGAATCCTTTTGTTTATTTATTTTTAGTAACCCGGGCTGGCCTTGAACTCATAGGGATCTCCTGCCTCAGCCCCAAGTGCTAGGATTACAACCATGCATGACCACATCTGGCTTGTCAAAGAATCTTTCTGGGCTAGGGATTTAGTTTAGCAGGCACAAGTGCCTGCCTGGTGAGCACAAAGTCCTGAGTTCAATCTGTGGTCCAGAAAAAAAAAAAAGTGAATCTTTGTGGGCTGAACCAGTCATAGTTTCTATCTAGACAAAGATGATTTTTGTCTCTAAAACAGTGTGGTCATGTATTACCCAGTTTTCTTCATAGTACTCAGATAATACACAGACCTTTCAATTTAAGGCCATGATGACAGGGCCTGGAGATTTAGCTCAGCAGCATGAGCACCTGCCTTGCAAGCAGGTGGTCATGAGTTCAATCCCCAGTACAAAAAAAAAAAAAAAAAAAAAAGAGACAGTGATGACAAACCTTAGAACTTTCAATGATACAGCCCACTGTGGCACTTGTGCCATAAATTTATTACCACTGGTTTAAGATATTCTCCCACACAATTCCAAAGATCTTTGGTACTTTTTGCTGGAAATCTTGTAAATATTACAAAAGAAGCTCTGGAGGACATCTAAATAAAATCTATGGGGAACCTACCAGGCTACCGCCCAAGACAATCCAGTTGTCAGTCCCCTGGGTCCTTTGGTTGGGAGCCAGGAAAGAGGCAAAGGATCATACTGTGGTTGTAGGTTTCTTAGTGGAAGGGAACTGAGGAATTGACAAGGGTGTACTTGAGACCTCTCACCTGCCCCATATGTCCAATAGCTAATTTTATGCTTTTTGTTCCTTCATAGTGCTGGGGATTGAACCTGGGGCCTTGCACCTGGTAAGTAAGCACTCTGTGACACATGCCTGTAATCCCAGCACTCAAGCCAAGACAGGAGGATCACCTCCAGTTTGAGGCCAGTCTGAACTACATTGCAAGACTGTTTCAAATAAATTATTAACAAGGAGAGCCAAAATGGCAAATATTGTATTTTACAATACCTAACCCCATCCCCACATCAATGGTGGGAAATCATAGGCACTACTACAATTGTAAGGAATATAACCTCAGGCTGAGGATGTAGTTCTATGGTAGTGTTGGCCAAGCATACACAAGGTCCCCTGAATCCCAGCAACACGTAAGACACCTAAATTCTTTATGCACACATTAACATTCAGTAAATGTTTAACCAGCTGCTTGTCCATTTCCAAAACTATCTAACCTTGACAGATTTGTCTATGGCTTTGAGTTTTCTTCAAACTCCTGTGTATTTTTTAGGTCATCCAAAGGTTATCATGGTTTTTCTTCCTCTTGAGACAGCTTTTCTGGCAAGGTCAGTTTAATTTGTAAATCTAATGAAAACCATGAACCTTTTTTTTGTTTGTTTGTTTGTTTTTCCTTTTTATCGGTACCAGTGATCAAACTCACGACTGCCTGCTTGCAAGGCAGGTGCTTAGGCCGCTGAGCTAAATCCCCAGCCTGAACCTTTTCGTAAAGTGTTCTTGAATGATAGCTCAGGAAACTTGGCTCTTAAAAAAACTCCCACTGGTATTGCTACCAACCACAAAAACAAAACAAAAGCAAGTTTATAAATATGGCGGCTACTTACTACTTGGTTGGCTATCTTTAAAATTTAATGACCGCCAACTAGCACTCTAGATAATCTCACATGGTTACAAAAAAAAAAAAAAAAGACAGCCGAAGAACAATTTTTACTCATTATGATTTATTCTCTACAATACTTCATTAAAGAGTTCAATGATTTGCACTCAGAAGTTATATAGCCAAGAGGCAACCAAGTGTGATACAAAGAATTGGTCTGAAGTCTTTGCACTGAAGGCCATATAGTCTTTTGCTTCAGGGAAATAAGAACAAAATGAACAGAACAAGTAGATCCCTAGGCTCCAGAAATCTTGATAGAAAAAAAACATCAACAGTTAGTGAAACTGGTTAACATATTATGGAAAACAGATCTTGTGCAAAATATTAAAATTAACACCCAGGACTTCTTTTGTATAGATGGTTTTTATTATAAACGTAAAATATATGTAATGTCTCAACTACAAACCTTTTATGTGGAAAGAGTATCTAACATGAATTGTTTCAATATGCAGCGAAAAAGTTTTAAGAACCTCACAGTGGAAACAATCCAACACTGACAAACTCTAGTGATCAAAGACACTCTCTTAAGTTAATGGAAAACAAGAACAATTCGTAATTACAGGGAAAATGTCCTAGCTGTGGGTATTATGAGACAAGCCAACTTTCCAGACCAAAAGGCACTCACAGCTAGGGATGAAACACACACTGAACCAAGCCAGGGAGTTGGGCCGGTCCCTCACAACAGTGGTTACCTACTGTTCAGTGGCCCAAGAACAGAGGGAGCAGCAGGTAGGAAAGCACCTCCTATGCTCTCCCTCTCAGTCCTATGTATCCCAGTCGTTGGCATGTATTGGCCACCCTCATTACTGCTTTGGTCAAGCAAGTGGAAGGCAGATCTGCTCCAGCTTGGAGCTGTCACCTCCCTATGCAAAGCTGCCGCGTGGATGATCCAGACCAGGTATTTTTCCTGAGAGCCACCTCCCCCACAGTTCCACAAGGGCACCACAACCACACACTTCCAGACTACTTCCTGTCACGCCCTGGTCAGGATGGACTCTGACAGGGCCCACATAGTCTCCCTTGGCTGCCTTCTGAGCTCCGACAAGGCAAGAGGAGCTCACGCACCTCCACTGCTGGACTTGTTAGGAATATGAGGGAATGTGCAGGGAGTAAGGCTTCTTCACTCCAAAACCACTGAGCCTACTTCAGTGTGATGCTGGGCTTCCATCAGCCCTATTCTTGTGCACTGATTTTTCCCCCATTTGGGGGGTTTAAAAATTTAATTTTCTTAAATGGCAGGTATCCTACCCCACCCTCAATAAAATAAAATAAAATAAAATAAAACTACATACTATACACTGGGAAGACAAATAGGGCAACATTTCTACAAGAAAAATAGGCTTGAGGAACATGGCACTGTAAATGCTTGCATGACCAGTCTCACTGAGCGTGCTCAGGGGTGAAAGTTTAGCACCAATTTTTTTGCTTTTTTTTTTTTTTTAAATCTTTAGAAATCAAACACAACTTTTAACATAGAACACTTTAACAGTAATGAGTGTAGCCCTATGTATCAATACTGTTTGTACAAACTGGAGGTGGGTAGCTTAGTCTAGAGCTGACCACCTTGACATCAATCCATGGCACCTAAGGGTAACTATTGTCACATCTGTAACAAGGTATGTAATATCCTCAGCAGCAGGACATCATGAGATGACCACTTCACCTTCATTTACACAAGGTGACCAGCAACGAGGGGGCATACTCTGGGCACTCTAATGTCATCTAAATCTTCCCACATACCCCAGTCCTGCCCGCAGCACAAAGCTACTCCCTCTAATTTGTCCCAGGAACTGGAGGGCAATGTCTTAAGATTATGTCCCCCTACCCAACTTTGTGGAAGAAAGCGCCAAGTTCTTTATACTTGAATTTATGCCCATTTTGGAAAGCCACATCAATACCACGTAACTAAAAAATAAAACATGTTCATTGGGTTGACACACGATTCACTTCCAGAATTCTCCAAGCATGTTGTGAAGAACTAGCGTACTGTCCAGGTACCCTTTCTTTAGCTGGCCATCTCTTCCTGAGTCACCAGCAATGCCTCTGAGACAGTGCTTTTGAAGGCTCTGTCAAGCCCCCCAGTTCTATGACCTCTGCTATCACATGAGTGAAGATGAGTCAAGAGAGAGAAAAACTAAATTAGCAAATGATGTTTGGAAGGGAAGTATCACATGGAAGTTTAAATGATACAGAAAAAAAGAACAATTTGGAACTATGCCCTGGTGGGGTTAAAACTCCCAGCATGGTAGACTAGATTGATTTACTTTGTTCAATTACACAACTTTGCTCTAGAGTCTTAAAAAGGACAGAAACATCACCTTAGGCAAACTAGAACAATAACTTGCCTACTTAAAGGTCTCTCAGAATGTTTGCCTGCAAAGAAAACCAGCTCAAGAGACCCAACTATCTAGAATGATGAGCCCAACCCAACTGCCCATTTGCACATCTGCACTTTTGAGAACCTAGATCCAGCTATAGGCACTGCTACCAGTGAGGAGTGAGGTAGCCAGGTGGTGAGAAAGAGGCCTCTCTCTTCACATCTCACACAGTGATGACACCAAGCTCTCCCATGGGCCTCTGCACTCCATTTCTCAGCAGGCCATACCACAGGGCTCCATGTAACAGCAGGAGACTTGATGCAGGAAGAGTGCCAGTGGGGAGAGAATTCCAAACCTTCGCGCCTCACTGAGCAATGAGATCTGTAACGCCATCTGCAGGGCTTCGGATCTTGGTGTGGGTCTCTGTCCAAGAGTCTCAAAGGACTCATGGTGCCCATGCTCAACCCTAAAATGGCATCCACTTAGGAAGCATGGAGGTTGTGATCAACTCTTGGTACGCAATAAACTGGAAGTTTTAAAAAAAGGAATTTAAAACAACCTAAAAATGTTTCTTGTTGGTCTCCGTTGCCCAGACTGCCAGGGGAATACACCTATCTGATCTGGGAGGCTGTGGGTGGGTAAACCTCCATGGATCATCAACTTTAATTCCAATGTGTAGCCAACACACATGTGGCAAATCACCAGACCAGGGTCTTCAACACCCACACAGCGATTCTCACTAGTCATGCAGAAGCCCCAATCCAATGGGACCCCATACTGAGGAAAGGCTGAGATAAGGCTTGGGCCCCTCAAGTTCTGTTTCATTCAGTGTAACCCCACACTCCCTCAGTCAGTGGGAGGCAGACTTGACAACGGAAGCTAGCATCATAAAATGGTGCAGTAATAGAAGTAACTGGACCAGGAAGAGGAGGCATCTGCTCCAATGATGTCATAGCCATTGGTGGCCACAGGGGGGTGGGACTGGTCATGCAGCCGTGTGTCAGGAGTAATGATTGTAGAGGGGTGGGGCATGAAGAGTGCCATTCTGGAAACAGTGCTGTCGAGAAGCAATGTACTCTGCGTAACTGATTGTCACCTTCTCACTTCGGTACCTGCATAAGGAAACAGCAAGGGTATTAGGAACCCAAACACACTCTGTAAAGTCACTCAGCAGAGAAAACCAAAAGCTTGTCCACATTTTCAAAGAATAAAATGGAAGACCAAGAGCAATCTTATTTACAGAAAATGAAAGACGGCACAAGAAAACAATGTTGTTATTACAAATGAACAAGATGAAAAAGCACAATCACAGTTCACCCCTGAGAATGCACTCAGCACATCCCACCTTTAAACGCTACGTATGCTTATCATCAGGCTGCTTGTAAGCAATCTGCTACTGGGGTCTGGATGAAGACTTGCAAGATCAAATTACATGGGTGGCAGATTGGAAGATGGCTACACCAAAACCCAGTGTAAATTGCACATCCACTTTCAGGTTATAATGAGGTAAATTTGACAGAAATGCAACTTCAATTTGCAGAAGAGCAACAAACAAGTTATCGTAACTAAAAGGGGCACAGATACCTAATTCTGGGTCAAATTCTGATGAAGCAGGTTAAAGGATCCTTGGGCTATATAGGCCAGGTCTCAATCCCCAGATGAATGCCACATCACGGGGTCATCAGAACAGAGTTCATAGCATTTTGGCTTTGCTCTGGAAAGAGCCATGAGTCAGGATGCGAAGCATGGGGTGTTACAAACCTATGGAGCCTACTACAGACCACAGGAGCTGGGTGTGACAATCCTTACCCAGAGCCATCTCTTTCCCACTGTAATCACTCCTCCACTGCAAGGTGGTTATTCCTGAATTTTGACAGGGAAATGGCTGTTCAAATAAATTGTAATAATAATAGTAATAATAATAATGCTTTGTATTTGAAGAGTGGTTTTTTTTTTTTTTGGGCGCTGAGGATTGAACCCAGGGCCTTGTGCATGCTAAGCATGTGCTCTGCCACTGAGCTTCACCCCCAGCCCCTTCACTTTGGAATCCAAAGTATTTCAAAACACTGGGTTGTCTTCCAAATAGACCCGAAAGGCACTATTATTAGATTATTCAGCGTTTTACACAAGAGGGCCCAATAGAAGCCCACAGAAGCTAAACCTCTCAGTACTTCCAACTTTAGTTAGGGACAGGAAGAGAACTGACATCTACTGATCACTTACAGTTTGCCTGGCCCTGGTCTAGAAATTCTCCACACCCATCACATCCTACAGCATCCCTACTGGATTAGCACTCACAGTTTACAGACAGGAAACAGCTCAGAGAGGTGAGTAACTAGATAAGGTAACACAGCTAGTCAGTGACTCCGACCCAAAGTTTGCATGCATTCTATGACATTATGTAGTCTCCCCATGGAAACACAGTATCCAAAGAGGGGAGGCATATCCTCTTAACTTTCTGTAAAAGCACCTCTGACTGTCCTGAATCCTTTGCACCTGACCATACATGCAGTTAAGAAAAGGGCACCTTCACTGGCCCTGGACTTCAACGCAGGAGTGTATTCCACTCCCCCAGCCTCTCAACCATGTGGCTCTGGTGAGACAGCCTAGACTCTTGGCAGACCTAATCCTTGCTCCAACTCCACTATAGCCACAGAAGCATATGGGACACTGAAGGAACCTAGCTTTGTTCGTGTTGCTTCCTCAGAACTTAAAACCTTACCTATCTCTCTTTGGTTTAGGGGCATTAGCTGAGAAAACGCTTTTCTTTCCCTCCCCACCAAAAGTATTCTCTATCCAACCCCCACTACATGAAAATGACAAGGAAAACAAGATAGTAGCTTACCTGGTGAGTTTGATCGTTTTTCTAAATTCACTGGTAATTGGAGCCTTAAAGCCACCTTTCCTGAGTAAGGAGTCTATTGTCTGGATCTGATCCCAGTCTGTGAAGAGAAACCACACCAGATCAGCATGGATGGGACTCACGGAGTAGCCAGGTATGCTGGGGGAGGGCCTGCACACCAGCTCACATACCCGGAGCCCATCTGCTTCAATGACAGCCCCACGGTGACCCAGAAATGAGATGACCGATCAGCATGTGCCATGCTGGCTGTCCCCAGCTCCTATGTCTTTCCTGTTAGGTATTACCCAGTGTAATTAGCATGGAGCAAACATGGTCCTCACTTAAGACTGGTTTGTTACTCCTATCGGTATTCAGTGAAAGCCCTATGCGGAAAAGGATGAACTTTGTTTACTGATGTATCCTGCCTGCCTCAGCCTCCAACTTGCCAAGATTACAAGTACACACAACTCTCTCCAGCTAGGAAAGAGCATCAAATTCTGTAGCCTAGACTTGTATGAGTGGCCTTTTATTTTTGAGACAGAGTGTCACTTTGCAGTCCAGGGTGGTCTTGAACTCCCAGCAATCTCCTGCATCAACAGGTGAGTGCTGGGATAATAGGCATGTGCTACCACACCCACCTTGAGTGACTTTTCTTGTTTGATGATTTCTAGGAGTTGTTTTCTACGACACAGAACTGGCACCAGGAAACTATTTACATTGTTGAATCCTGCCTACTTTTTTGTAGTGTTGGGAAGTAAACCCAGGCCTTTGCACTGAACTTTGTTTCTACATGTTTTTATTTTTTGAGATAGGGTCTTCCTAAGTTGCCCCAGTAGGAGATCTGAACTTGTGATCTTACTGTTTCAGCCTCCCAGAATGTTGGGACTACTGGCAGTATGTGTGCCAAGGCTTCCTTTTTATGCCACATCCACAATGCTTTTAAGCTGAAATCCAACCACAATGGAAAAAAGGCAATCACTTTCCACATAATTTGCTCATAATACACTCAATTGGGTGTTTTTCTCTATTCCAGGTTCACATCTAACTAACAGTGTCTAACATACTATTTTCAAAAGCAGATTAACCTCAAGAAGGAAAGATAGCTGGGCATGGTGGCTAATACCTATAATCCCAGCAATTAGGAGGCTGAAGCAGGAAGATCACTGTGAATTGAGCCCAGCCTGGGCTACAAAGTGAGTTCAAGGCCAGCCTGAACTGCATAGTGAAACCGTCTCAAAAAAAAAAGAAAAAAGTCTGAGCTACATCACACAAAAACCAGAAGAAACATTTAAAAGCACTTCTCTGGATATTCTTTTACAGAAAAAACTGCCAAACCCACTTCCCATCTTTATGTCTTCATTATAAGAATTAAGGGGTAAAAAAAAAAAAAAACCAAAACAATTAAGGGGTTAAGCTTTGTGGCAGATACCTATAATACCAGCACTTGGGAGGGTGAGGCAGGAAGACTAGTTCAAGACCAGTTTGTTGAGCTGCACAGTGAAATTCTGTCTCAAAAAGATGAATAAAAATTTTAAAAAATCATTAAGTCTGAATTCTTAAAAAACAGGAGGGACCTGGCAAGTACAAGGTCCTGAGTTTAGATTCCCTTTACAAACCAACCAACCAACCAGGAGAGAAAATGTTTTGATCTTTGCTAAGTGTTAACACATTTAATGATTCACAATTAGAAGTTCAATACCCACTGATATAGGTAATCTCCCTTTAGAAATGAATTCTATAATGTGGTCAGGTTGATTATTGGAGTTTTGCTATGATTACCATTGTAATTAAGAGGACAACAAATAAAACTATTACAAGTGGTCAGGTAAAGGAAATAGTTTCCTTTTCTCCTTTTATGGTTCCTAGGTCTTCTTGGGATCCTGGTGTTATAGGACTGTAGTATTAAAACTGGGTATGATAATGCATGCTTCTAATCCACTACTCTGGAGGCTGAGGCAGGAGGCCTGCTGTGAGTTTGCTACACAGTGAGACCCTGTTGCAAAACAAATAACAATCTTAAGGGAAAAAAAAAGCATGTTAGTAACAGCTCAGCAGAACGATGACACACTCCATTTCTGTGTCCTTTTAAGTGGCATGGCAAAAGAAAGGCATGGTTATGAATAGCACTATTCACTCAATGTCCATTTGTCTAACTCACCTTGTTCCTTAGCAACCTCAGGCAAGTACGTGGCTGTGCGTTTGATGCCTTTTTCATTGATAAATTCAATTCGAATTCCATGGACCCCTACCTATAGAAAGACACAACATAGTAGATAGCATTTACTTATTCTAATGAAACTGAACATATAACTGGACTCTGTAACCTGCCAGCTTGACCTATGTAAGAAGAGTAGAATTTGCTTTTCATGACTCTCAGATAAAGGGCAAGAAAGTTAAGCTTTAGGGAGAATTTGAGTATATATGTAGTCACTTCCCAGAGAACATAACCTTAATAAAATTTTTAAATAGTTTAAAATAGTTTACCCAATAATTTGAGTACTTTACTTTTGACCTATTTCATAAATAAGCATGCCAAGTACAAGATTTTTAATCTGTGTTCAAAATATATTTACTGAGACATGGTTTCACACTGTAGTTCCAGGCTGGTTTTGAACTTGCAATGATCCTCCTGCCTCAGCCTCTGAAAGTGCTAGAATTATAGGTATGCACCACCATACCCAGCATGAGTTCATGATTCTTGGCACCTGATTCCTAATAAAAACTTGTCCTCAAGGGCTTGCCAAGAAGGATGTGGAATATTTTATATCATCTCATTATTTCTCATTAGATATAGAGGGAAGAAATGAGAAAACAAAGCTTCTGCATTTCCTCCCACTCCTAATAGACCAGTACCTTTTGTTACCTGTCCTGCCCACAGTGGCACCCAGTTCCCACATCTCAGGCCCTCTCTCAGTGAGGAGACATTGCCATGTACTAACCCAAACCCAAACGCAACAAGATGCAGGATTCCAAATGCAGCTGCTCTCACCTCCCAGTCCAGGTAATCACTGGCATCCTCAAAATTAGTAAGGAGGGAAACAGAGCAGAAAAGTTTAGGCAGCTCCTCTCGGGTCAGGGGGGGAAATCGGCTGTCCTTAAGTGCACTGCAGGGGGACAGAAAACATAAGTGAGGCTGCTTGGGAGTCAGGCACCAACGTCCCATGTCACAAAGCCCGCAGAGCTGTGAATCCTGATACACAAAAAACATCTATCATCCACCAACTCCACACGATACCAATTGTGATGCTAGTCACTGTCTAGATGGGCACTGCTAAGTGACTCACCAGGTTAAAGAGCCTGCAATTCCTGATCATCAGAAAGGAATGCTCAGAATGTATCATTTTTTAAAAAATGAAATCAGGCAAGTATTTCCCCGTATAGCCAGTTTACCTACAGTGCTTAATGTCTAGTGTCATTACCTGGTTAACGTGTATTCCCTGAGTCCTGAATGAAGATTCATGGCTGAGAAGGTCCCAATGCAGCCACGAAGCCGCTTGTCCCGCCCTGTCTTCCATGTCACAAAAAGCGGACTAAAAAAAGAAAAACACAAAACACTCTCTAGTCTCAAATTAATAATGTTCCTCTTCATTTAATTGTCCAAAAAGATGGTATGACTTGCAGCTATCTGATAAGCTCTAGAAGTGGCTCAGTCCTAGCTAGAAACATGAGGAACCACCTTGAAGGCCCTTGCTGCAGCCTTTCCCAGGCTCTGCACTGACAGCTTCATGCACTCCAGTGCCACATTCATGGCTACTCTCCTTCCCACTGCCCAGGGCTCCACTTCTTCAAAGTCTCTTCTCTCTATTTTTAGGTAGCATATCATCCAGCTCTATCTTTCACAGCCATACACCTTGCCAGAGTATCTCCACACTCATGTCTGGGAGCATTCTCTATAAGCCCATACTGTTCCTGTAATTACAACTGCCCCTGGCAACTATAAATATTTCCTATTCACAAGTTTTTTGGAAAAAAAAATAATGCCTTCTCAAGAAAGGTTTTTATTAGCAGAAAATGCCAATTCCGTTCCTAGATCAAAGTCATGCTTTAAGCTCCATCAGACAGTGATGGAATCTTTCCGAGATCCCTCCATACCCCCTAATAACCTTATCTCTTGGTTTCTCGTCTCTTTTTTGGCCTTTGACTATATAGGGTCTCGCTATGTAATCCAGGCTGGTCTCAAACTTGTGACCGTCTGCCTCACCCTCACAAGCGCTTGGATTGCAAGTGTGTACCACAGTCACCTCTTAGCTTCGAGTGAATCACCATTCAGAGACAACTTAAATGCTACAAAGGCTGCTAGCAAATCTTCACTACTCACATTTCTTTCTAGTATAGCACCTGTACCTAGCTGAGCGTGCTAATGTACGCCTGCAACCCAAGCACTCTGGAAGACTGAAGCAGGGGGATTGCAAGTTGGAGTCCAACTTTAGGCAACTCATTGAGACCCTGTCTCAAAATCTCAAAAAAAAAAAAAAAAAAAAAAAAAAAAAAAGGCTTGGAGATATAGCTTAGTGGATTCAATTGCCAAGTATCATACAAAAGACCTCTATAGTATCAACCAATGCAACTGTTTCCCAAAACTTCGAAAGACTTTTATTACCTACAGGATGAAAACACAAAGTCCTAAACACAATAGCCTAAACCAGTGAGGTGAACCTTTAGAGCTCTGAATGATACAAACAGCCCTCTGCAGGTTATGCCCCATAGGTTCTAAACCCTAGTCACTCACACCAAGGCAAGTACCTGTTTTTAAAACCAAACCCTCTCCTGTTCTGGACACCTGTATTCTGACCTGGCTTGTCATCCTCATCGGTTCAACCGGGAGTTTCCTAGCGGCGCACGGCGACACCACCTGAAAATCATCACACTTCCTTCAGGTGCTTTCCTCAGACACAGTCACCCAGAGGTAAATTCCCCTGCACTACTAGTTATCATTGTACTTGATTTTGTCAGCTCAATGCCATGTTGCCTGAGGGTAAGGACCTTCTCTTTATACTCCCCAATCCTTGTCAGAGTATCAACGGCTGAGAAAAGAATGATCTTAGATCAATCAACAAATACTCCAAGACTCCCCCATAAACAAAAATCAAATGCAACTGTGTTCTTCAAAGCCAGCTGAGAGCTGCTTCCAATTTTGCGTAAAAAGAAAACACAGATATAATTACTTATACTTCCTTAACACCTCCAAAAGTCTTGGGACAAACAACAGAGTCTTGAAATAAAAACAACTCTGACTTCTTAATAATGGGCTACTAGCAGCTCTATTCTATGTGATTACCAGGGATTGCTGATGAACAAAACAGAGGTGATCCTTGTTCAAAGTATTAGCTCCCTCTACCCCCATCACTTCCAAAAAAAAATGAAGAAGCAGCAGCAGCTCCCAATGATTGAGATCCTTGTCTCTGGCCTGGGCTTCAGACACTCACCAGTCCCAAGTAACTACTGTGGTGCCCCACAGTGTGGCTTCTAGACAGAACAGGTTAAATGACCTACCATCACCACGTAAACCCAGAATTAAGTTATTGCATGACTTTAATGACAAACCTACATGCGTCCTCCAAACATAACCCAGCCCCTCCCACTGCTGAACCCACTGAACAGTCTAAAGAGACACTGTATTCATCTCTTCACTCTGCTCTTATTACTCAGCTCAAATGATGTTCAAGCTTAATCAGCAGTGGCTCTTATGTGAAGAATGCCCTCAGAAGCTGCACTGCGCCCTCCACAGGTCCCCGTGCTTCCTTTACTCACTAGGGGTCATTGGTGAATCTAGGAAGTCGTGGCTGTGGGAAGCCATAGAGGTGACAGTAGAGTACATCAAAGCAGTAGCAGCACATCTCTGCAGTCACCACCAAATTCTTCGTGGCATTGGCAGTTCCATTGGGTCGGGGGAGAGGGCTCAGCGCTCCCGATGCGGGATTCATCCGTGTGATGGGAGAGTTTCCAGGTCCAAGAGTTAAGTCCGACACATTCTCCCTTCCACTGCTGCTGTCCACATGCTGGTGGTTTTGAAGAGGTCCTGAACTAGCGCTGGGGACAGTAGTGGACTGGCTCCCGTGACTGTGCGTCCCACTTGCAGACAATTTGGGCTTCTTGACCCCACAACAACCTGCTGCCAACCTGGGCTCGAGTGGAGGAACACAACGTCTCTTTCCCATCCTGACTCGGTGCTCGTGGTCTGGAATGCTGCAGAACCCTAACCCAAAAAGAAAACAGTTAAGGGCTGACTCGAATGGTTGAAAGGACAAGGTAGCACACACCTGTAGTCCTAGCACTCTGGCAGGCTGAGGGAGGAGGACAGAAAGTTTGGGCCTAGCCCAAGCAACTCAAGGAGACCCTAAAAAAAATAAGGCTGGGGATGCAGCTCAGCTATGAAGACCCTGGCTTCAGTACCCATTATCAGGAAAACAAAACAAAAAACACAGAGAAAAAGATCTGCAGACCAGGGAATAATCATCAAATTCTCTTTTCCACTCAGACCTCTGGATTATATGATCTGAAATGGTGGCAGAACAGGGCTCTGAGAACCCTCACTTTCCATACCAGACTCCTGAACCTTTCCTAAAGGGGACTGTTAAATCTTGGTGTTAGGGGTTGCATCTAGACTTTCGGACTGAACTACATAACCCAGAGCTTTTCATGTGGCTTTACTGAGAACAGGCTCTTGCCAAGTCCCTAAGCTGCTAGGCTGGTCCTTAACTTTTTATACTCCTGTCTGAGTGCCCAACCTAGAGCTACATTTTCCATGAAAATTTATGATCCCCATGGTGGAAGCAGGCCAACAAGCAGCTCTCCCTTCCCTGACACTCAGGGCAGAAGGTACAGCTGGCCTGGAAGAGCGAGTGCCCCTGACCCGTCGGACTCGAGCTGCTTTCTCTACCTTTTTTACAGGCTTCACATTGAATCATCTTATTTTTAAAGAACTTTAGAGGTATTTTCAAGCTTTTCCTTGTTAACCACATCTTCTCAGCATTTTCCTCATCTCTAACTTAAATCTGTGTGACTTCAGACCTAGACAGGAGTGAGGATGAAAAGCAATTAGCTGTCATTCTGAAAAGGGTACCCGCTCCACAGACTCCCTCTTTTTAACCCCTCCCTCACATTCTCTTTAATTCCCACTGAACTCACTCAGATTTCTATGCCTCTGTATCTTTTCAAGACCCTATTCAAAAACTGCAACCCAGGCAACCTTTCCTCACACAAGCAGACCAAGGTTAACAGTCCTTTTGTGAGGTAGCCATTTCTGCCCTGTCACAGTCAGGGAGAGAACTACAAAGCCAGCCAGCTTCACCAAACCGTAGTGTCACATGGACAAGGGGCCACACAGCCTGGTTGATGGTGTAAAGGAGAAGAAGGGCTGTATATAGTTATGTGTATGCACTTCTATCTTTCTGTTTTTTGGGGGGAGGGACCTTCCTGAGGATTGAACCCAGGCCCTTCACATTGCTGACCCTTTTTTAATTTTTTGAGACAGTGTCTAAGTTGTTAAAATGCCCTTAAGCAGGTTCAAACTTGCAATCCTCCTGTCTCAGCCTCCCTCTATGCTGGGATTAGAGACATTCACCATCATGCCCAGCTAGACCTTAGGCTTTTTAAGAGAAAAGTAAGGCCAGGGATATAGTTCAGATGCATAAGCACCTCTCTGGTAAGTGCAAGGTCCTGAGTTTGATTCCTGGTACAAAACAAAAACTACATTCTATTTGGGCATGGCAGTACATGCCTGTAATCAGTTCTCTGGAGAGGCTAATTCAGGAGGATCGTAAATTTGAACCAGCCTGGGCAACTTTGAAATTTGGTGAGACCTTGTCTCAAGAAAACAAAAACAAAAAAACCCCAAACATCATCAAAAAATACCCCAAAGTGCTGCTCAGAGCAAACATCCTGAGTTCAGTCCTTCCACCCCACAAGTCCAAAGATCTTTCTCCACAAACCAGGAAAATATGCCCTAGTTGTTTCAGTGTCAATACCAAAAATGTTGGATATAATAGCACACTTCTATAACCCCAGTATTTAGGAGGCTGAGGCGGGAAGATTACTGTGAATTCAAGGCCAGCCTGGGCTACACAGTGAGATGGTCTCAAAAAAACAATAATAATGAAATAAAACAAAAAAAACCTGTGAAATTCTGCTGACTTTAGAGTAAATTATACTTACTTTCTTCTTAAGGTATTATTATATGTGACTTTTGGTATCTGTGTGTGTATACACATACAATATGCATTATCTTCCCTAAATTTTCCTATTATTTGGATGTGTAGCAACAAACTTTTCTTTTGAGACAGTTTTACTATGTTGCTCAGGTTGACAATTGGGCTCAAGTGATCCCCTTGCCTCAGCTTCTCAATCTGCTGGGCCTCCCCAACCATAACTGTCTGTATTTACTTATTTATTTAATTTATTTAGTGCCAGGAGTGGAACTCGGGGCCTTGCCCATGCTAGGTGGCCACTCTACCACTGAGCTATACCCTCAGCCCTGTAAACTATATTTTTTTAAAGCATAGTTCTACAACATAGCATTTCAGTTGTAAATTCTACAGCCATTTAAATCAAATTAGATAGTCATACATCCATTTATAATGTCACTATATTCTATATAATTCTTCCCTTCAGTTTGAATGAGATAAAGATTTATTAAGTAACATTACTGTTTTTTGAGACAGGGTCTTGCTATGACTGGTTTTAAACTCACTATGTAGCCCAGGCTGGCTTCTGATCCATAGTGATCATCCTGCCTCCTGAGCGCTGGGATTATATGAGTGTACCATCATGCCTGGTTTGTAAGCATTATTTATGAGATTCATATATGCAAATCCTTGATGAAGTACCCATCTTGGGCTCTTCTGGGCGAGATGAAAGGTTTTTTTTTTTTTTTTTTTTGGTCTTTTTGTGACAGGGTCTCACTGTGCAGTTCAGGCTGGCCTTGAACTCACTTTGTAATCTAGGCTGATCCTCCTGCCTCAGCCTCCCGAATGCTGGGATTATATAGGCATGAGCCACTACACTCGGCTGAGATGAAAGTTATTTTAGCCAAGGGATGATTGCTTGTATAGTTCACTTTCTGGTTTTAAAATGGGCTTCGTTTTGAGAGAATTCTGTACTTCTGTAGCTATAACAAAACGAAAGACTAGATACTTCCAGGTATGCCTGTCACTGCAGATTATTTCTGAGTGTGGATACACTTATCTTACTTAGACAGCTAAGAGGGAACTGGGGTTTTCATTAATAATGTTAATTCCAAAGCTAATAGCCAGAGTTCGAATCCTAGATCTTCTATAACTCACCATTCTCAGACTGTTTGCGCCTGGGGCTGCTAGAATGGACTCTGTAAAGGCTATGAGCAGGACCCTAAATGCGGTAAGGCCACCACACCAAGCTGTTCTCATCACCTGGTTCCTGCTCACTTCTTCTATGGGGAGGGCAGTACCCAGACATCCAGCCGTGCACTCAGGGTTTGCAGCAGTGCTAACATAGCGCAGGATGCAGTGAGGACTCACTCCACTGACCCCTTCAAACCTTCAGCCTGGCAGATCACATTACCATGAGTTTATGGCGGGACTTTAGGATAAGAAGCACAAAATCTGACAAAGCCACACTGCCACTAAGTAACAGAGCTAAGATTTGAATCACAATCTGTCTCACGAAGCCACATGGAAAATGGGACCTGCCAATAATTCAACAATTACCACTGGGTCCACTCCTTTTCCTAAGGGTGTGACAAAAAAAAAAAAAAAAAAAGAAAGAAAGAAAGAAAGAAAGAAAAGGAAAGGAAAGGAAAGAAAAGAAAGAAGCTGGCTCTGGAGTATAGCCAGTAACTCCAGCTCCCAGTACTTGGGAGGCTGAGACAGTAAGACCACACTATGAGTTCCAGGCCATCCTAAGCTACCCTGCGTATAAAACAAAACAAAACAAAACATAAAACAAATTTATACTCTGGGAGGTATAGTACTAGAAATACTAATCATTGTACAGAAGCTTGCCAACAGGGGCTGGGGATTTAGCTCAGTGGCATGAAGGCTTGCCTGGCAAGCAGGAGGATACGAGTTTGAGCCCCAACAGCAAAAAAAAAAAAAAAAAAAAAAAAAAAAAAAAAAAAAAAAAGCTTGCCAACAAAAACAAGCAGAAAAAAAAAAATAAATCAAAATCCAGAGCCCAAAGGCTAGAGATGTAGCTCAGCGGCCCAGTGTCTGCCTACCTGCCTGCCTGCCTGCCTGCCTAGCAAGCAGGAGGCAGAGTTCCATTTCAGATACCAAAAACAAAACAAAACCAAAAAACCACTCCACAGCCCAAAGCCAACATCTCAGCCTTCACCTAGAAAATGATAAGCACTCACTCCCCATTCCTGTTTGTAGAATCCACAGTGGATGCCGCTGGCCTGAGCTCTCACCTTACTTTATCTACCTAGCATTTAACCAGTGGGCCATGTGCAGGCTTAAGGCATACATTAGATGAAGCAGGACTAGTCCAAAAAGCTGCTTCAGCAAGGGCAATGGGATTCAGAGGTTCTGCCTCTACAGCCCCAGAATTCAAACAATTGGGTGAAACATTAAGGTTTTAAAAAGGCCTTTCATTATTATTATTATTTTTTTTGGCCTTTCATTATTTTCATTACATCCAGCAATAGATGTTCCTCAGCAGGTGATACCAGCTACCTGTCTGGTGAAAAACCTTACTGCAGAGCAACAGAGGAGGCTTTCGAAGCCCACAGGTGCCGGGTGAGATAAGCCAGCCTAGAAGACTGCCTGAACCTCCATGCTATCACTGATATGCAGCAGGGCATGTCCTAACTAGCATTTCCATTTATCAGGAAGATCTGCGCCCTTTCAAACTATGGCTTGACATGGACAAAACCAAGCAAAATCTTGTGGCTCTGTAGGCTCAAGGATTTTCTGGGAAGCCACTAAGCAAACAATTTAACTAACAATTTCAGTCAGTGACCAAAGGAGCAATTAGTATTTTCTACATCAAAAACATCTTAGGGTTGAGTTTACTGCTGCACACTTGAAATATCAGGACTAAGGAGGGTCCTGAGTTTGAGGCCAGTCTGGGCTCTACAGTGAGTTCAAGATTAGCCCAGGTTACATAGAAAGACTCTGTCACAAGCAAACACACATTCCAAAAACAAAATAAAGCACAAGTTCTTGGGCTTTCAGTGGTAGAGTGTTTGTCTAGTACACAAGTGAGCTGGGTTTGAGTCTGGGTATTACAGAAAAAGGAAAAAAAGGTACATTTTTAAGAATTTTATTCCAAGCCGGGGATACAGCTCAGTGGCACAATACCTGCCTGGCAAACATGAAGTCCTGAGTTTGAGTTCCTGCACAAACAAAACAAAACAAAACAAAACCCTAAGAATTTTATTCCATAAATTTACAATTCCTCCTACTCAAACATTATTTTGAAGCCAACTTTGGAGAGGGCTGACAATTTACTTATCTGGCAGCATAAAGCAAATATTAAAGAATACAAAGTGAAGCAGGGTGGTAAATAACATCAGTTGCCATCTATTAATTTTATCTGAACTTTCTTTATAGATTTGAAACTCTTAACCCTACTGCAATAAAGCAGGCATCTCATCACAACAAAGTAGTTGAGACACACTCTGATCAAGAGACAGATGATGTACCAGCAGCTTGACCTGAGGACCCTATGACTGCAGCATAATATATTTCAGAGTAACAGCATTTTGAACACACCATCTGTCTGACAAGCTAAAAACAACTCTATGGAATGACATACCCTACCTCCTCTTCTTTCTTCCCTTTTTTCCCCCCCTATGGATTGAACCTAGGGCCTTCACAGTGATTATATCTTTAGCCTTTTTTGAGACAGGGTCTTGCTAAATTGTCCAGGGTGGACTCATTCTTATAATCTTTCACCCTCAGCCTCCCAGAATGCTGGGATTCCAGGTGTGGGTCATTAGACCCAGCTTATACCCTACTTCTTCAACTGCATATGAAATTCTCACCCCTTCTCAAGCCTCATAAAAACTACCAGTGATGGCACTCTGACCACGTACAGAGTACTCTAAAGCTAGTTGTTCTGCAGTAAGTGAACTCAGGTGTAAAACCCTTTGCTGAATTAAAGTGTGTAACACTGTAACGGTTCCAGGCCTTATTAGATGAGTGACTCTTGCAAAGCTAAGCTCCAGGGCACCTCAAGAGCCAGCAGCAGTGATCTCCTTTCCTTACCATATAGCCACTTTGAAACAATTAATGAGAATGCACTAGATTGGGCTTCCACCAGACAGAAAAAGTACCCATACTCCAACTGAAAGCTGGGAGAAATAAAAAAGGAACCACTGTTGGACCTCAAGACACTTTGTTTTCCAAGATAGGTTCTCACTATGTAGTTTATAGCTGGACTTGAACTCACTATGTAGCCCAGGCTTGCCTGTGCCTTTTCAGTGCTAGAATGACAAGATGCACCACCACATCTGGCATTCTCAAGACAACTTTGTAGGGCTGTGGTAGAGAATTTGCCTAATATGTGCACTCCTGGATTCAATGCCTTGCACTACAAAACATACACACATGACACAGACAACCTTTTAAGTCCAATTCTACCCTAGGTGTTCAAAGTCACTGCTCCTTCAACAGGGTGCTGAGCTCTCACCATCTCTGCCTTTATATGACACACTCTACTTGCCATGGAACATGGTTAAGAGCCTACACGGTCAAGACCATTGGGTGACTCCTCCCCTGGCTCGGGGGAAGTGGGGGACTAAGCAGTGCTCTGTAGGGCAGCTTACAATGCCACTGAGAAATTCCAATTTAGGGATCAAACATCTCAGCTTCTCAGAGTGCTAAAGTATAACCATGACCATATTCGGTGTACTTGTGTTTTATCTTCCATAATACCACCTAACATAGTGTCTCATGTATAGCCTACACAACAGTAACTGGTTGTCTCTGACAATTTTACCTATAGATTACATAGGAATTTTATTTAAATTTACCTTTTAAACAAAAACAACCTAAAAAGGGAAACAAACAAACAAACAAAACAAAACAAAACAAAACAAAACCCTTGTGATTGTTTTGGTTCTTCAGCAAGGTAACTAATTATATACTCAAGATTCATTAGGCATGGTGGCATAGCACTAAACCTGAGCAACAGAGGATTGCCACAAGTTCAAGGCTAGCCTGGTCTGCATAGCCAGATTTTTTTTTTTTTTTTTTGTCTTTTTTGTTTTTATCGGTACCAGGGATCGAACTCACGACTGCCTGCTTTCATTGCAGGTGCTTATGCCGCTGAGCTAAATCCCCAGCTCCCATAGCCAGATTCTGACTCCAAAGAAAATAGGTACTTTTAAGTACCCTTTCTTATCAGCAATGTCAACTCCATTCAGCACAAATCAAAGAATGGGTCTGATAATTATTCATAGCAAAATGAAGAAACAATATGGATAATTCAGTCTAAAAACTAGGTCAACTATCACCTAAATATACTTTGATTTTTTTTTTTTTTTTTGAGACAGCATCTCACTATGTCATTCAGGCTGGCCTTGAACTCACTATGTAGCCCTGGCTGTCCTCAAACTCTTTTTTTTTTTTTTAATAAATTTTTTTTTTTGTCTTTTTCCTTTTTATTGGTACCGGGGATCAAACTCACGACTGCCTGCTCTAAAGGCAGGTGCTTATGCTGCTGAGCTAAATCCCCAGCCCTGTCCTCAAACTCTTGTTCATCCTCTTGCATCATTGCTTGGATTACAGGCAGGCACCACTTTGCCCCACTCTATGCTGATAGTTGTCACTTCTGCTAAAATATCCTGTAATCAGTCAGTCCTGGACCTGACCTCAGCTACTAATTAATGGTAGGAGCCTCATGCTTTCCCTTGACAGATCATACATTCTAAACTGCACCTGGAGAAGAATTTCTTTTAGAATGACTGGATACTTCCAGTAGCCATTCATAATTTCAATGATTAATACAAGATTATCAAGGCACTGAAGCAAGAACATGAGGATGACCTGAATGATGTGGCTGGCTGGGCAGAAGGGCTGTCCACATTTGCCATGGGCTCCTTCTAAGGATCCTGAAGTCCACCAAACACAACACACTAACATCATCCAAGAGCAGTTGCCATGTTCTGAGGACAGACGTTAGGCTCTGGGGTCACAGTCTAACTGCCCATGCTGACACAAATTCCAACTTGGACATGCACAAATGGAGTGCAAATTCAGGCAAGTTGTCAAACCCCACAAATATGCCACCACAGAGGACTATTTGTGACCATTCAAAGTAGTAAGACATGAGAAGAATCTGGCAAGCCTTTGGCACAAAACTACTATTTATTGTTTGCCAGTTCTAATAGTATCACTACCTATACTAATAAAAGTAACACAGCTCTTGAGCTCTTAACATTTCTATAGAAATAAATGCTTTCATAACACAACTCAGCTGCTTTGTAGTTTAAGAGAGCATATTATTAACACTGGACTATTTCTCCAATGACCTTGGTGTTTTTCACCTTTGAAAGCAGTGATCTCTAATAAATCACTCACTGCTCCCTTTTATTCTGAGATGCCAGAAAACATAAAAAAGACTGGGCTCTCTGAGACTGGTAAGAGTTCTATTTTTACAGGGGTCCTCTTGTAAGCTTGCAGATACACAATAACAAGAAACTGTATTTGCCAAATATGCTATTTTTGATATCCTGACATTCAATTAATACTAACGGACCAACTTTGTCAAAGTAGTTACATTTCAAAAAAATCACATTAAAATATTTAGCAAATATCGAAAAAAGTACTGAAGCAGGGGGGAAAATCTAGTTTCACCTTTTGAAGACAAGCCTCAAAAATGGCTTGCTGGAAGATATAGCCTCCTGAAGATTTGGAAGGTGGGAAAAAGACAAAGAAAAAGGGGTTGTACCATTTTTTTTTTTCTGTTATCAGTTAACTGTCCAGATGCTAAAATCAAGTCTTCCACAGACAGGAATAGGCTGTTGTTTCCTTTGTGACAGAGTTGAGATGAAATTCAATTTAATAATTATATTATGGGTACTGAAATGGCACCTGAGCTGTAATTCTGGCCTACTTATGGAACTATTCCAGGAAACAGTCAGACCAAAAAAAAAAAAAAAAAAAAAAAACCCCACAAATATTCTGGTAACCATTCCAAGTAACATTTCTACTATTTTTGAAACTCTGGCATACACACCCAACACCTGGTCAGTGAATATTTTCCCTGCAAAATACCAATCTACCTATACAACAATTATTTTAAGATCTATGGATTTCTTAAGAACATATAGAAATACATTCATATTCAAATATTTGTGCCAACGTAAAGAAAAATGTTCAAATACACAAGTCACAATTTTATTTTTAACTCCTCTTTCCTTTCCAAGTAATCCACCACATGGTGCTTAACTGTCTGGGCCTCAGTTCTCTCATTTTTAAAGCGAAAACATTTACCCCTATCTTCTTCACAACAGGCTCAGAAAGCTGGTAAGATGTGAAGCACTCTGAAAAACTCAAGTGTTAGCACACTGTCATTAGAGGGTTTCTTTTGGCAAAGTGCTGGAAATAAAGCCCAGGGACTCATACATGGTAGGCCAAGTATTTTGCCACTGAGCTACACCCTCAGCCCCAGCAGAGCGGTATTAATAAAGCCAATGGCATGGAGCAGTAATAATTTTCACTCTGAATCTTTGTTTAAAAGTTTACACATGGCATTATAATCATTTTTCATTCTGTAATAGAATTTAAGGGAATATGACCATAGCTGAAGACATTGGTTCACATGAATGATCAGAAATTGCCTTAATCTCTTAAGAAATCTTTCTGGTTGTTTTAAGAAGTAATTTGGGAGGGGTGTAGAGTCAGACCTTATGCATTTGAACTGTAGAGGAAGTGTAATGCTATAGTACCATCTAAGTTACTCTATTGGATTTATGGAAAATAAGCTTGTCTTGGCACATTTCATTTTTAAAAGATCAAGTAGAACTTCATCAATATTAGGATTCATTCATTGGAGCAGAACAATATAAATCAACAAAGTACCCCTACATGGAAAAAACCAAACATAGGTCTAACACCAAAAATGGAGCAACAAAGCTCCATTCTTTTTTTTTTTTAAAGCGGTACCAGGGATCGAACTCACTACCGCCTGCTTGCAAGGCAAGTGCTTATGACACTGAGCTAAATCCCCAGCCCCTAAAGCTCCATTCTAAGTACGTCTAAAGTAATACTCACTGAAAGCAGGAAAGTTTATATTGCCAAAGGAACAGCTACAACAGAGGAGGGGAACTACTTTGTCTCTGGGATGAATTTTCTTCCTTCCAATTCCATTCCTTCTTTCTGTACCTAAAATGGAAATTCAGGTTCAATGAACAAACAAAATGCAGGTACAGCACAGTTCAGATGCAACTTTTTGAAAAATTACAACTCAGAGAAATTTCGGGAAAAAGACAGCTATAGAGAACAGGCTTTCAGTTCTTCAGAACACTTCAAACATGAAGTATGAGACAGCAACAGCAGTCCCATGCCCTGAGTCACCTTATCCTGAGTGTCATTACCTAGGGAGGATACTGAGGATCAAATGTTTTTTTTTATTTTTTTGTGTCTTTTTCCTTTTTATCGGCACCGGGGATCGAACTCACGACTGCCTGCTTGCAAGGCAGGCGCTTATGCCGCTGAGCTAAATCTCCAGCCCCCAAATGTTTTATTGATATTGCACATGAGGCACACATTAAAACTTGCCCATCACCAATTTGAGTCAAAACTGGCTTTCAGGCTATGATACACCATTTTAAGGCTTTCCAATTGGTTTCAGATTTTACACAGTCCAACATCCTTTACAAAGATAGTTAACACCGGGGATTTAGTTCAGCGGTATGAGCCCCTGCTTTGCAAGTGCGTGTTCGTGAGTTTTATCCCTGGTACAAAAAAATAAGATCTTAAGAATTACTGGGCAATATACCAGGGTCACCGACTTGACGACAGGTCACACTGTTAAACCAGGAGGAAGTGGAAAATGCTAAGTGTTGCTAAGAGTCACCCATCCTTACCCTTAGTCTTTTGGGGGTGTGTGTGTTTGCCTTTTTGAGACAAGATCTGATTATGCAGTCCAGGCTGGCCTTGAGCTCACTTTGTAGCCCAGGCTGGTCTCAAACTTGCAACAACAATCCTCCTGCCTCTGCCTCCCGAGAGCTAGGATTAAAGGCCTTACCCTTAGTCTTGCATAAATCTCTTCATAACCTCTTCACCTTCTCCACACTCCTCAGTAATAAAAGAAGTGAGCTATTCCAAGATGTAAACAGAAGCCTCCAGGCCCCACCCACAATATCCTAGGAGAGGGCAGTGAAAGAGGATAGGCCCAAAGGGATAGAAGAGTTCAGATCAGGACAGGGAATTGAGGAGGACACGGTATGAAGGGCAAAACCCACAGCCCAGGAAGGAGAGGCAACAAACCCAAAGAGTGTCAGGTGAATGGACTGGCTAAATGGGTGCTAGGAATGATACATGGAAAGGGGGCCTCATGAAAAATAGAGCGCGCGCACGTTAAGAGTTAAGCAAAAAAGGAGAAACAAGAGTGGAAAACGGAAAGGGGAGGGTGGGGAAAGGGAGGCAGAGGATAAAAGTGAAAGTAAGAACCAGGCAGTGGGGCAGCAGAGCGGGGGACGCCAGCACAGCCCGGGAGCCCGCAGAGCGACGGGTAGAGCAGCCAGGGCCGAGCCGCGGGGGTGGGATCCAGACGCGGGCGGGGGAGGGGGCGGCGGGGCGGGGACCGCCAGGCGGCGCCGGAGACCACCAAACTTTACCCGGACGCCAGCCCATTTCCTGAAGGGAGTGCACAAACCCAGCAGCAGCTGGAGCCTCGCTCGTGGCCGGGCCCTGAGCGGGCGCCCACCACGTCCCAGTGCCGCCTCAGGACCCCCGCCCAGTGAGGGCACCGCGGCCCCGGGCCCAGTCGCCCTCTGGTCGCTGCCGCACCGGAACCCCTCCCCCACGCTGCCCCAGGACCCTCGTCCAGCACCCCGGGGTCCACTCCCGGTCCCCGCGCCCGTCCCGGGTTCAGTAGGCCTGGGGAGAAGCGGAGACACGGCGGCGGCGCAAGATAAGCCTGGCCCGGCGGCAACGGAGGAGGGCGCGGCAAACCCCTAGTTTCCCACCTTTTCTCTTGGCCCAGACGCGGCCGGGGCGGACGGGACCTCTCGCGCTCTGCCTCCTCCTCCTCCTGCTTCATGGAGCCATGCACCTGGGTGGAGGCTCCTGAGAGAAGCAGGCCCGCCGACAGGCCAGACGCGCGGCGCAAACCGGGCGGGGCGAAGGGGACCGTCGGCCTGAGGAGGAAGCGACGGCGGCGGCCGGGAAGAACTAGAGGTATTCCCTGGGTGGCTGGAGGACTAGTCGAGCCGGGACCCGATTCCTCCGGTATCCCAGCAGCCACCGGAGGCAGTGAGGTAATGGAGGAAAAATGTAGGGAGTCCTCCAGTGGACCAGACGCCCTCTAGCGAGCCAGGGAGAACCATAGAGATCAGGGAGGTACCAGAGCACCGCCCCAACCCTGTCACGTGGTTTTCGGCGCACTTTATTGGCTGGTGCCGACCCTACGGGGTTGAATTAGAGGGCTACTTTGCATTTGCGTGCCCCAGTCCTAGACAGTTGGGATAAAGAACACTGGGGGAAAACTGACAGAACGCGGACGTCCCTCGCCCGGCGCTGAGGCGGCTGAGCGGAGCGTGCGACCGGGCAGCCCGGTTTCTCCCGCGGGCGCGGAGCACGCCGGGAGCTGTAGTGCGAGTCGGGCCGGCGGCATTGTCCGCGACGCGGCCAAGTGTTGGCCCTCGCGCAGCCTGGGGGTGCTGCAGCCTAGCTGCTCGTCGCTCTTAAGGACTCAGCGCTGACCTGCCAGCGGCTCTCCTCCCAGCGACCATGCTCACGTCACCTCGCCTGACCCAGCCGCTGCCTTCGAAAGCAGCCTGGAAGGGACGACTCAGAGCAGCCTTAAATCATACAGCCCACGGCCAGAGCCAGGCCTGGTGCCAGCTGCCTGCACCAGCCTTGCCAGCCTTCCGACACACTGGAGAAGGAAGGCTCCCCAGCTTTAGGTCCTGGCTCTAGTGGCGCCAGCTCACATCAAGAGTCCCTCTCCTCTGGCCCTGAAGCTCCCGCTAGAGATGATCTCAGTGGGATTCACATCGGACAGGATTATTCAGAGCCCGACTAAGCACATTCCTCCGTACTAGTCAGGCCCAGACATCCAAAAGAACAGCATGCAAAAAATATCCTTTAAAAATTAAACTAAATCATTTTAATTTCAAATTCTTATTTTTGACCAGACTTGCTCTTATAACCCCATTTTTTGGGTTACTCTGTCGTTTGTTTTTGCGGAGATGGTACCATGTCTGCGTGCATGCTAAGCATGTGCCCTGTTATATTACATTCCCAACCCCAGCATTTTTATTTTTAATTACAGATGGGAGTGCGCAAAAAGTCTTATTTCTGTCCTACAGGAGGGTGGAATAGTCCAGACAAATTCTGTTAAGCCCAGCAGCAAGGGCAAATCCTTAAAATTAAAGCAATTGCCTGAGGTAAAAGAACTCAACCACACACAGCATTGTTTTGCTTTTTTGTTGATGTACAAAGGCATCCTAAACATGTTTGTCCTCAAAGACCAAAGAAAAGTATCGAGTAAAAAATGCAAATTATATGTAACAGTGGAGCTTTCCAGCAAAACCCTTCTGCTCTAGAATGCATAATGTATGTAAACACTGTATGTAAAATGTATGTAAGATCTACTCTGCAAAGTTTTAGCCTAATTACCAGAGTTTCTGTTGCCTCTTGGACCCTGAGCTCTCAAAGAGAACTGGGCAAAGGGTGACAATGTGAAGAAGAAAGGGAGAGTATGCTTTGTGGAATGGGAGATGACTTTAAGAAAAATAAGTGATTTCTGCAGCAGCTGCATAATTCCTGTCACACACTGGGCTTAACACTATCTTGAGGCCACATTTGCCAATTTCTAACCTCTGTTTGCCTGAAAAACTACAAATTAGATGATTATATGGCTTAGAGCCAGAAGTACAGGAGCCAGAAAGCCAAAGGACATTTTTTTGTTGTTTCTGAATAATAAAGGCCAAATCCTGACTTAAAGCAATCAAAATAAACTTCACAGAGTGATGGTCTTTCCAGCTGAAAGTCTTAAAACATGGCATTTGAAAAGAGGCCTTAGTCTATTGCTCCCAGGATGATGCTCTCTGGTCATTAAACAGCCTGCACATAAGGGAGTTATCACTCCCTGGACTTGAAACACTCCCAAATTAAAATAAAAATAAACCTTGCCTTGAGTTGTTGAGAGGTGTTTTATTGAGAAGTAGAATCCAGATGTGCCCGCTCTTTCTTTCTTTCTCTCTTTCTTTTTTTTAAAACATATTGAAAGACAAAGGTTCAAGACTTTTTAAAAAAGTTTCTTTAAGGTCACCTCATATCAGCATGCAGTGGTCTATGCTGATGGGAAAATAAACAAAATGAAATGATGTACAGGAGGAAGAAACTGATGGACAGTACATGCCATGACTGATAAGGAAAAGGCTGTAATTTATTTTCTCATTTCCTGCACATACTCGAGAAGCCTAATCTATAGTAGGCATGCAATTATTATTTGTAGTCTGAATGAATAAAGAAAGAAAGAAACCCACATACAACAAGCAGACAATACAATTGGGAGAGATCTGCAAAAAAGTTATAGCCAAAACTTTTGCATAATCTGGAAAGGTCACCCCAATCCATTGCAATAAAACTGTACTAATCCAGATATCCCAAGGAAAATCATCTGCCTTGCTGATTCACAGCTATCATTTCTTAGCTTAAATGGTTAAGAATATATGGTAATAATCAAGAGAGTTCCCTCTGGTCTCAGAATGCTTGGCCCCAAATTGCAGGTCTAATACTGAAAACCCTGAGAACAAGTTAGTACGTCAGTGACTCAGTCTTATTTATCATCTGTGAGGATTGTACCAGTACCTACTTCATAGGGTTGGGAGATTTAAGTCTATACATATAAAGCTATTATAGGATTAGTGTGTCAAAAATGCTCAGTAACTGAGCTTTGTATTAGGGTATTGAGACTAACACGAAATTAGCCTGTGGATGGCTGGACGTGGTGGCACATGCCTATAATCCCAGCACTTGTCTGTAATCCCAGTACTTGTCTATAATCCCAGTACTTGGGAGGTTGAGACCAGCCTGTGGTACAAAGTGAGTTCAAGGCCTGCTTGAACTGCATAGTGAGACTGTCCCCGCCATCCCCCCCAATTAGCCTGCACACCAGCTATACACATTCTTTTTGATTTGTACCTTGTATGAATAATAGGCTGATGGAATAAAGGAATTGCCAACCAGCAGTGTCAGAGGATATTGACTGGTGGTGTAGATTTTACCTGTTCTGATTTCCAGTTAGGTTTTGTTTTTGCTTTTGAGACTAGGTCTTCATTACGTAGTCCAGGTTGGACTTCAATTTTCAATTCTGCCTCAGTGTCCTGAGAGGAAGGATTACAGGCCACTGTGTCTGACTTTTCCTTCTCGTCCTGTGTATAGCTTGACAGGTTTTTCTATTAGTTTCTGTATCAGTCTGTTTACTAGAAAAACAGCTATAAAACAAGATATACAAACATATAAATTACAAGATTGGCTTACAATTGTCACCTCCAGTGTAGGTCCACCACACTGGAATGGAAGGGTTCAATCCAAGGTCTGGAGCTCACTGCAGAATCCCATGCAAGTCTGCATCAGGAGAAGGATGGGTGGGCCATGGAGGCTGAAGGATCCAAAGGAGAAGCCAAATAGTCTATGCTGGAAACCAGGAAACAACATTCAAGTTGGAGGTAAAGGTTGAACCTCCTCCCAAGAGCAGAAGCTAGACTGCCCCTTTTTTTTTTTTTTAATTTTTTTTTTCCTTTTTTCTGGTACCAGAGATGGAACTTACAACCGCCTGCTGGCAAGGAAGGTGCTTATGCTGCTGAGCTAAATCCCCAGCCCCTAGACTGCCCTTTTATACCATCCAGGTGCTGAACCACCCTAGGATGGGTCCTTTATACCCTAGGGTGTAGAATTACTGAGTTGAGCTGGGTATGGTAGCGCATGCTGTAATTCCAGCATTTAGAAGGCTGAGATGGGAGGATCTCCATGAGTTCAAGGCCAACCTGAACTGCATAATGAAACGTGTCTCAAAAAAACAAAAAGTAAAATTAAACTAAAGTTGCTAAATTAGGCTGGGGATGTGGCTCAGTGATGCAGCACCTGGTTGGAAAGTACAAGGTCCTGACTTGGATTTGTAGTACCACACACAAAAAAATCTGCTGAACCAATTTACCGACTTAGTTCAGTATCTTCTCAAGTTGACACAATCAGTTAACCATTATAGTATCCATCCATGTAATCCACATCTGACTTAGTGTGTTTCTAGCAGTTCTAGTACCTTCTTCCAATTACTAATAACCTCTCAAAAGATAATCAGTAGGTTTTTCTCTGTCACTATAGACTAGTTTTTGCTTGTTCCTAAATGTCATGCACATTGAGATGAGCTCAATGTGTGCTATTTTATGTCTGGCTTATTTTTAACATTATTCTAACAGACTCATCCCTATAGTTATATGCAGCTATCATTCATTTTATTTGCTGCACAAAACCCTGCCATTTAAGCCATACTGAATGACTCCTCTGTAGTACATATCAAATAAATAGGCCACAATTTGTTTAGCCAGTATTTCTTTAAAACAACCTTGTTCATTTCCCTCAGACTGGAGATTTAAATTTAAGAAAAGATAAAATCCTGTATATCCGGGTATAGTGGTACACACCTGTAATCCAGCATTTGGGAAACTGAGGCAGGAGGATCACTTTGAGTTCAAGGCCAGCCCGAATTGCATAGTGAGACCTGTCGAAAAAAAATCAAACCGGAATAAAAAAGATACTGTGGTGTTTTGGAAGTTCAGTGAAGAAAATGGGGTGGAAGGGAGGACAAGTATGACTCTTTCATACAGAGGAAATGTAAGAGTCCACCCGGAAATTGCTGTGGTGAAGGATGGCTGTGACATCCATTGGGACAGTGGGGAGGGCAGTGTCTCAGAGATGCCAGTGCACCTTTCCCTGTCCAGCCTCAGAGCTCTGGCACCCACTCCTGCTTCTGCTGTCATCTTACCTGCAGAAAACTACTCCCCCCCCCCACTGCAGACCATCACTAGTCCATTCATTGTGTGGGTGGTATCTTGCTGGATGAACCAAGGAGCTGAAATTGGCAAATACCTTAGATACATAAGAAGATTACCCAGTGCCAGGAACCACAAAAGCAAAAGAAAACAAAAATCACATGGGCTTGGGGTAGGGAAGTAGCTCAGTAGTACAGTGTGTACTTAATGTGTGTGAAACCTTGGCTTTAGTACCTACCACCTGGTGGGGGAAATCCTTGTGTTTCAGAAGGTGGGAAATAAACTCTAATCCTGGTACCAAACACTATTACAGGCCAGAAAAGAAAATCACCTTAGGCCTTTTAAATAAAAAGGGGTAAATGATAAGAATTGGTCATTCAAGTGTCAGAAATCTAAAAAAATAAAGGAGATGTGGAAGTAACCTCAAAGTGACTAACTTTAAGAGAAAACCACCATGGGGCTGGAATTGGAGGTGCCTTAGGCTAGCACGTGTAGGGACCTGAGTATTGGGGCACTGGAACTGCAGGCCCCACTGGCCGGTGCCATTGTTGCTAGACCGGGAGGGTTGCCCTACCTCTCTGCTGCAGTCTTGTCTTCCCCAGCACCTCCCTTCGGCAGAATCTAAGAGGAAGGCTCGGGTAAGTGTTCCCTGGGCAGTGCAGCCAAGGACTTCCAGGCACCGTGCTGCGGAACCAGACTGAGAGGTGTGGGCTGGCCTGAGCAAGGATGGGTACCTAAGGGCATAGCCGTCGCTCTGAGGCTTCCCCAAGGCGTACTGCCGCTGGTTCCTCTGGGAGTGTGTCAAGAACAGCTTCTGATGGACTTGGTGGAAACTTAGAAGTTCTGGCCCTTCTCCCAATAATGCTGAAAGCTATCACCATCTCTGGACTGCCTGGCAGCTTGGGGCTCACTGAGCTCCTAGACTTCAGGCTGCTAAGGCTGTGGTGAGTGACAGTGGGGACAGGGCAGGAGAGGAGCATGCCAGTGTCACTCGTGTTTTCCTTCTTAACCCTCTCTGAGATCATTAGGCCACATTATTTTTTGTGTTTTTGAAACAGAGTCTCACCTTGAATTTACTATGTGGCCTGAGCTATACTGCCTCAAGTTTGTAGTGATCCTCCTGCTTCAGCCTCCTGAGTACTGAGTGTACAGGCATGTGCTACCATGCCCAGCTGACAGTCTTACAGCTATTGGCATGACAGCCT